TACGTCTATTAGTAGAAGTGCGATTTATAAAATCAGTACTTGAAGCCCAAATCGCGGGAGGAATATGTGCATCAGTTTTCAAATATTTATTATTTACTATATAATTTCTAAATTGAACCACTTTCACTTCTTTAGGTAACAATGTATCTGTTTTGACAACTAAATAGGTAATTAGACAAAATAATGAGTATTATTAATTTCAAAACAGGAGTTTAATATTTCGTTTTGGTACAGCTGACATGCTCTCTCTAGCACTACAACCCATGAAACTGTGGTAAAAAGCATGCTTTATTTATGCGGTTGTGAAACACGACGATTAACAGAGACGTCGAAAAAAGATATCTCGTCGAACTTAATGCAATAAAGTATGAGAATAGAAGGTACAGTCATGGATGGCATACAACGAAAGCAGCTCAAATGGGTACAGGTCCAATAAATGAAAGACAGTAGACTCCTAAAACAAGTACCTGTATGAACACCTACCGGAATCCAGAAGAGAGGATTACCTTAGAAAACACGGATGGAAGGAATAAGAAACTTAATGAGCTCGAAAGAACTTAAAGAACAATGGAACAACCGAATTGAATGAAAAATGGACGTCGGAAGACATTTTATAGGGATTATATATTATTTATATAGGGACTATAGATACATTTTTTGGACTAAAAATAAATTTGAAGAAAACCAAGTTCATGGTATTTACAAAAGCACAAAGAATCAAAGTTAAGCTAGTACTAGATAATACAGAAATTGAACAAATATCTTTGTACAAATACCTTGGAGCATGGATCACAGAAGATACTGATTAGACAAAAGAAATAAGATGCCGCATTGGAATTGCACGGTCAAATTTTAATAGAATGAGAAAACTTTTTTGTAATCGCGATATCAATATATCGCTCCGGATAAGAATGCTTTGATGTTATATTTTCTTTACCCTTTTATATGGAATTGAAGCTTGGTCACTTAAAAAATCCAACATTAAAAACCTAGAAGCATTCGAAATGTGGTGTTACCGACGTATTTTGAAAATACGTCGGTTACGAGAATAACCACTTGAATTTGATTGATGTTTCTCAATATAATTTCTCAATATAAAACTCTGTTGTCCATATAATGAAAAAAAATAAATCGAACATTAGTAATGAGATAACGGAAAATATTATTGAGCCTGTGATGATAAGGTAAAAGAATTAAGAATTTGAATAATTGATGTTAAACAAATTTAATTTTTTTAAAAATCCATCCTGAGAAAATCTGTTATTATAGATGGCTCATTGTAGAGAACCCATTATTACTTATTGAAATATAAAGAGAGCTGTTATGATGTTGTAAACTGATTTTTTTTTTTTGGCAGATTTGTATATCTGCCATATTTGTATAACATACCTTTCTTATCGCGGGCTACGGACATAATGAACGCAGAGGCATGAAAAAATAAAAAAAAAAACAAACGCGGTGAAATGCAATGAAACGACAGATTGCGCGACCACACACTACGTGGAGTAGTAAACGCAGTCCCATGCGTGTTTCTAATAAAATAAATAAAAATAAAATAAAATAAATTAAAACAAAACAAAAAAACAATAAATTACAATAAAATAAAATAAAATAAAATAAAAAAAATTAAAATAAATGAAAAACCATCACTCCATGGGTAGATACAAATGCTATGCTTCTCTTCCTCGGCCACTCCCGAAGTGCCACATCCCATTTTTATTAATAGTTTCCAATATAAAAAATCGAAACATATATCCAGTAAGTAATAGATATACTAAACATAATATGCAATAGTATCCTATCAGCAACTTATCATCTGCTTTTTGTAGATGATCCTTAAAAAATGATGTTAGTGATTAATTAATAATTAATGAAATAGGAATATCTTCTACCCGAGTCGTCATAGACGATAATGCCACTGAACCTCTAAAAATCACCCCCTCAAAGGGGGGTAAAAACGCAAAAAAATCGATTTACCAAGAATATGTACACCGTAGAAAAAACATTTCAAATAAAAATGTAGCTGAGATAATTTTAAACAAGAATATTTAGAAGCATTTTTTGTGTAGAATGAATCGTTCTCATAGAAATAACGCTTGAAGTGACCGTCGATTTTACATGTCAGTTACGCGCGCGAAATCAATGTTCAATAAAATATATATCAGCTTGACGGTAAAAATTCGATATCTTTTGATTCAAGTGATCTATCGACCAAAATCAAGATGCGCTTTAAAGGTAAAGAGTTGAGCTTTCGTATGCAGTTTTTGTATTTTGCCAAAAATAAACTCAGATTTTATACAAGTGTTAAATAAATAAACGTGGCGAGATTTTTGTCATTTTTTATGATTCTTACGAGATCAATACCATAATCCCTTTCATTGACTGACCACTATGAAGTTTCGATTACTAGAGCCTAATATTTAAAACCTATAGCATGAAATTTTAGTTTTGAGTTTTGGCAACAAATGTGAGGCATTTGAAATATACTTAAAAAACGCTGGAGTTAAACTTTCTCACATAAACAATCAAAACATTTAAAACTTTTTTTCAATTACACCAGTATGTTTTTCAAAAGGCCAAAATTTCTGCAATAAACTACACCCAAAACCGCCTTCTTAAATGCATTTCAGGTGACGTCTGATCAAGTAAATCATTAAATTCTGCGTTTTTTATTCATATTTCAAATGCCTTACATTTGCTACCACAACTCAAAATTGTAATTTCTTGTCATAGGTTTTAAAGATTGATCTCTAAAAATGAAAAGTTTACTACAACTGGTCAATGAAAGTGATTAATTTTATTGATCTCACGAGAATCGAAAAAAATGGCAAAAATCGCCACGTTAATTTATTTAGTTTATTTAAGTTTTGTCCTTTTGAAAAACGTACTGGTGTAATTGAAAAAAAAGTTTTAAATGTTTTAGATCGTTTGTTGTGTGAAAGTTTAACTCGTGTTTTTTAAGCATATTTCTAAACTGAAGCTGAACTAACAGAATACAGAGCAGAAAGAGATAGTGGAAGATAGCCTTGATAGACCTCACAGCGGTCTATGATAAGATAAACCACAGAACCTTGCTAACTAAGATCTATAACACTGTGCTTGACTATGACCTGGTAAATATCATTAGATCACTGTTGTGTAATAGACGCTTCTACGTTGTGCTAAATGGAAAGAAGAGCAGATGGAGAAACCAAAAAAATGGCCTACCTCAAGGAAACGTTCTGGCGCCGTCCTTATTTAACATCTACACCAACGACCAACCAATGCACCCTCAGACTGAGAGTTTTGTTTACGCTGACGACCTTGGTATAGCCTTAAAGGGGAAAACACTCACACAAGTAGAGTCGACAATGGAAGAGGCTTTAAACCTAATGTCAACTTACTACAAATAAAACTCATTAAAGCCAAACCCTACTAAAACCCAAGTATGTGCATTCCATCTCAACAACCAACTGGCGCATGTAAAACTGAATGTTTCTTGGGGACAACGCTGGAAACATACTGATAGGCCCAAATATCTTGGAGTGATACTAGACCGGTCACTAACGAATAAATTCTACTTTCAGAGCACAAGACAAAAGGTTTCTGCGAGAAACAACCTTCTCCAGAAACTTGTAGGGAGCAAACCCGCAGGTCTTGAAGTCACCAGCTGAGACCTTATGTTTCTCAACAGGGGAATATTCTTGTCCCGTCTGGGGTAGATCCAGACACGCCCACACATCTTGCCGATCCAGACAAGTCACCACGTCGTTAAATGAAACATGTAGAATAATTACCGGTTGTATGAAGCCTACCCCTCTACCCCTACTGTACCGGTTTGATGGATTCGCATCACCAGACGACGGTAGATGCGCCTCACAATATGTGGAGAAGTTCAAGCAAACTTTCGATGAAAGGCACCAATTATACGGGTTTGACGAACAGACAGGAATCAGCTGACTTAAATCAAGGAAACCGTTTATGAGAAATGTCAGTGTCGAACCACACAAACTGTTCCCCCTACATTCAGAACGACCTAATGGAATGAACCTGGACTGGAGAACCTGACGGACCCTCAACCGCATACACACAGGTGTTGCCCCTGTAAAACAGAACCTCATTAAGTGGGGCATCAAGACAGATAGCGACGCACTTGGTGAATGTGGGGAAATACAGAACGTGGAGCACCTGAGAGTATGCAGAGTTTGCCCATCACAGTGCACCCTCGATGATGTATGGCTCGCAAATATAAAGGGTGTAGACATAGCCCGATATTGGGCAGAAAAACTGTAGTCGGATCCAGACACAAAAAAGTAAAGTAAGCATATTTCAAATGCCTCACATTTGTTGCCAAAACTCAAAACTAATATTTCATGCTGTAGGTTTTAAAGAATAGGCCCTGGTAATTGAAACTTCATAGTGGCCAGTCAATGAAAGGGATGATGGTATTGATCTCATGTTTATTTATTTATTCACGTTTATTTATTTAACACTTGTATAAAATCTGAGTTTATTCTCAACAAAATACAAAAACTGCATATGAAAGCTTCACTCTTTATTGCCTTTAAAATGCATCTTGATTTTTGTCGATAGGACATTTTGATAAGATATCGAATGTTTAACGTCGAGCTGATATAAATTTTATTGAACATTGAACATTTTTCTGTTACGGTGTACAGATTTTTGGTAAATCGATTTTTTTTATTTTTACCCTCCTTCGAGGGGGATTTTAGGGGGAAACCCGGGGGTAAAAGTGGTAAACTTTTTTGCATCTTTTTTGGGGTTCCAAAATTAATATTCTCTGCAAAATTCAGCTTGTTCATTGATTTTTAGGGGTCAACTCTCTGATGACTGGACAATTCAATTAACTCACAAAACAGTTTTGCTATGTATGTGAAAAATAAAATAAATTGTGACAGACACCATAGGTTTACAGAAAATTTACATCGATAAGCTAGTGATTTTCAACATGAGATAACCAAAGAGATTGAGATGTTCAAATCAATATGACTTTTTCTTACCTGAAGAGTAATTTGTGGTTGCTGTCCTTGGCCTTGATCAGTTTGTCCATGATGCACCTTTTTATGGTGGTTCAGCAAAGAAAGATGTGCAAACATTAATCCACAACAATCACATTTAAAAGTTATGTTTTGAGTTAATAAGTTCTGATTGACAAGTGTGTAATTATAGCTGAATGGTTGAGTTATATAACACTTGTCGTCAGTTAACTGTGACATGTTGACTGTGGAGTTGTGGTTTTGAGTAGTATTAGGTGTAATTTTGTGGATCAAGTTGACATTGCTGTAACAAAATGGAGCAAATGTGTCCTTCTGGCCCTGTTCTTTATCCTTGTCATTTTGCTGTGGCTGCTGGTATTGTATTTGGGATTGTTGTGTAGTGATGGTATTTGGATCAAACATCATTGAAAATGCTTAATTTGACAGCCGAAACTGCCAAAAACCTAGAAATATACAGTTTATATAAAACCATTCATGAAAACTGTTAGAGATAATAACTAAAATATACTGTTTTACTCATACATATATAAAAAGAATAAGGACAAATCCAATTACAAAAAAAGAACACAAATACTGACCAACAAAGAACATTTAAACCATTTTTAACACAAATAAGCCTAGATGATCTAATCACTCCAAAATGTAATTTTTTCCTAATAGCTTTATGTCTCTTTTAAAGAAAAGGTTAGCAATTGATGTTAAATTCAAGAAATTATCTATTTAATTGTTTTATTAACCTTTTGAGTAAACTGACTGTTCTAATACAGAAGAGTTCCCCTAGTGCAACAGAGAAATTTGACACAAAGCAGTCCCTGAATCTCTTTCTAACAGGCCACGTTTATTCACCACATGACCTTCTGATTGGTCAATTAGGTCATGTGGTCGATAAACCCAGCAAATTAGAAAGAGATGAAGGGACTGCTATGTGTTAGTTTTAACTATGGGAATACGCAGTGCTCAGTCTATTTGTATTATATGTCTGTTTAAACAATTTTACTTAATCTAACCTAATTTTGAAGCAGATGCTTTAAAAAGTGTTTTTGTATATAAAAACAATCATATAGATTTATTAACATGCCTTGTTTTAAAATCCATCTCCAATGATTTAATCTTATGTATTAATGTATTGTATAGCATACAATAAGAACACATAATTAAAAATTAATATAAAACATTACATGAAGTATTACAAACGAACATCTAATGTATTATTAATATATTGGAAAATATTTTTGGTCACATTCAGGATATCATCGAAAACTCCAGGGAATCACCTTTGGGGGCATTCTTAAACAATGTGACAGATGGTCTGTTGTGGCGCACCACAGTCACACTCAGGAGTAAGGGCTTTTCCCCATCTATATAAGCTGTCAGCACATCTATCGCTGTTCTTATTCTGTTTAGCCTTGTCTATATACTGCAAGTCAGTTCAAAGCCTGGCAGTTTCTGATCGATACAGGCCATTTGGTGTGCTTCCTGTGGTGAGGTGCTCTCATTGTCTTCTCCAAGTGTTGGTGAGGTTGAACTGTTCCTGATGTAAGGAGTTGGCTCTTAGCAATGGAGAATATCTGAAGTGCAGTCTCTTTATTTCAATATCAAGCTTATCATGGTGGATAGGTAGTTGATGGTTAGCCTCGATTTGTCAATATTCTGACTCAGACTCAGAATGGGAAGCCAATAGTTTGGTATCGGTGTAAAGCTATTTTGCGTCCATAGTAGTAGAGTAATGGCTATCTGGCCGCCTGAATAGGCAGCCAGACAATCTAGAATCTCTAGATCTCCTGGCAAGAACACATCATGAATATAATCTTATATAATGTATAATACTACAACCCTCTTGTTTTTATGAAGAAACAGCAATTTTATAAATTTCTTTTTGTTTAATCATTGGTTGCAAGATTTCTATTTTAAGCATTTTGGTATATCAAATGTGATATAGATATCTACTTATTTTAGGTATATTTTGAACAATCAAAATATTGTGACTTTGTCTATGACTTCACCAGAGGTGGAGTAATCAATTTAAATGGAATGGTTTAGGTGGTATTAAGGTGGTCACTGAAAACAGTATTTGGTTTTTAAGAAATATATGTTTCATAACGTATTTTATAATTAAACTATGTTAACAAGCATCATCTAAATAATCTATAGAGTCTGTGATATTATAACTGACATTTGTCTTTCACTTTTACTGGAATATATGCAGATGGAACAGTATATATGAACCACCTCTTCTAGACCCAGTCATTAGAATTAAATACTTTTCAATTTATGGTAAAATATTGGCATTTATTTTACATGAGACATGCTTGTGTTCCTATTCTAATATTTTAATCTTAATCTATTTTAATCTTAAGTATTAAATCTTCTAAATTGTGGATACATGCAAATGTTACAATCATTAAATACTTCTTTTGAGAATACTGTGCTCCCCTTCTAATTAATGCATAATGCAGTTGATTTATGCAACTTGCATATACTTAAGTATATTTATTTTATTACAACTTTGCAAGTTAGTGGTTTATAGAAGAACCACGCACATTATTAAGTATATAAGAAGGGCCATAAATGAATGTCATTAAATATCTTTAATTTAACAGATACATATGATATACTAAGGACATTTTTAACAAATTTGTTTTCTTCCATACATATTTTATTCACCATAAGTAGTTGTAATCTATCGGACAGGTGCCCTCAATATAACTTAGTGATTTGGAATTTGCGGTTTATGGATAAAGATATGTTAGTTTTGGAGTAACTACAATGTATTTGGTTACAATATTTAATGGATTTAAAAATATGAAAATAGATATTTTTCAAAATTTGCATGGATAATGTAACATATTGTGCTTAAATAGTTCAAAAAATCATGAATTCCTTTCAACAATGAGTAAGTAATGAAATTTCAACAATGAGTAAGTAATGAAAGTTACACCATAAAAAATTGGCATTCCAGTTTGCCGGTGATTTTTTTTTATTTTAGAGAAATTATTTAAGAGACAACGTTAAGGCCTTTTTTAATTTATAACTGAAGGGTGCGGCAATCTGCCTATCCAAATTTAGAAAAAAAAATTGGGGTCGAACGTCAATCAAAACAGAAAATCCTAAATGTCTAGCTTCTCACTCAAAATTTATCTCTTTTTATAACAAAGATGCTGATAAAATGAAATGAAATAAGTATAAGTAACAAAGAAAACCGTTTACCTTCTCTCACACAATAGATCTTCCTTAGGAGACGCGTACGTAGGATACCTTGAAATACACAAAGTTTGGCTTTATGCTTCAATTGCAAAGTTTGTACACTTTAAGAACCACAATATTAACTATTTTTGATTTGAAAATTCCACGAATATGGCATAAATTTCCCAAAATTTATCACAAACAACTTGTTCTATCTCACTTTAGAAAATGGCGGATAGATCCATAGCCATCTTTGTTCACCTCGCAAATTCGTCATAAGAAACACATGGCGCATGCTTCAACAAATAAGATGTATTCATCGAATACCGAATTTGAACATCGAATAATAGTTATAATATAGCTATGATGTAATTTGTTGAAAATTAAACGATACCTATTTTTAGATTTGTGTTATTAAACTTTTATTCTAATTTTGATATATTGGTCATATCTTTTCTAAGTAACCATTTTTCGTAAAATAAATATAAAAAATTAAAATAAAACCTTCGTTTTGTTTATTTTTATCAATATTACATTATTGTTTGTTTTTATTATTATAAAATGTATCTTTTTTTATTTGTATACATAGTGTAGTATAACCAAAAACTCTTGGGTTTCTTTGGATCTGTATTAATATTTTATTGCCGCGTCAGGTCTAAATTCAAAACGACCACAGCAGATAAAGTAACCGATTATGGAATAGATTAATTTAAATATTTGTTTTCTGAATGAGAGAAGTTAATTATGGAATAAGTGTTAAAATGGAATCATATCTTAATATATAAATTCACACATTTGTAGTGACGATCTTATTCTGCGCATTTCATAAAAAACCAAGTATTGTAACCAAGTGAAGGACAAAATTGGTATAAAAAATAGATAAGTACGTACAAAGTATAAAATACTTGATTTGCAGCTAAAATAAACATAAAACTCTTCTCTTCAAAAACAAGTGCTAAAACCAAAAATGAAAAAAAGAAAAAAATTATTCTTATAGAGGAATGAGATACTACTACAATACTGCTTTACCACGACACATTACGCGATGGGTAAGTACAGTTATTATAGTCGGTGTATGTACAATTATAATATTGATCTCAGATGAAATTAATAAGAATAATTCAACCATGAATTCCAAGCTTTGTTAATATAATAGAAGGGGTGCTTGAAAGAACGACTCACTCATATCCATGAACCTTGTGAAATGTATCTCAGCTTCACGGTGCTTGCAAGTTGCAGATCATTCAAGTACGGGTATGACTTTTCTCTTCTCTAAAAATATTAGTTTGAATCAAGTTAAATATAAAAAATACCTTTCATCGAGCAAAAAGCTTTATACTTCAAAGATATTGGTATATAATAGAAACTACTGTTCATTTCTAATAGTTAAAAATGTCTTTCTAGTTCCGATAGTTTAATTTGCAATTGATTACATTTAATAAATAGATTAAATCGTATATTCGGCTTTTAAGAAAAGTTATACATTACTTGTTTTCGGTTAACAAGCTTAAATATGTTTTATTTTAAACTTTCAGGATTTCCTATGTCAATTTAGGAAATATGTTATGACGGACCTGTATTCGATGTAAGTGTCAATTTTTAGTAACATTTCATGTTTTCCCAAATAGTGAAGGCTGTGTGTGTGTTGGGTTGCGATGTCGGATATAGGAAGTGGTGATGAAGGTTCAAGCTCGCAAAGTAAGTGCTTGAAATTATAAGAAAATGTATTCTTAACATTGTGAGGTTTTCATTTACTTTAAAAACAAACCATACCCCCTGCCCTTATCGACTTCTCTTTAACTTGCATTTGCGATTTTGACAAGTCTACCAAAATGGCGAATGGATTGTTCTCTTTGAAAATTTTTCGATTTTTGATTATATACTCAAGGAAACGTGCAATATATTTTTGTCCCAACGAAGGTTTTTAAAGTACAGGTTTGTTTAAATAGTTACGGAAGAATTGGGTCATAAAGTGTGTCAAAATTACCGCAAAAGACCTGCATAAGTTAAATATTGTCGTAGTCTATTAATGACCTTGGCCAACGTCGATTTGGTTGCCTTTTACTCTAACCAAACGTCAAATCATGGCAAAATGAACCTTATAGGGCGATTTGGTGTTTTTGATCAATTTTTATAAAAATCTGCTAGCTCTAATCGCGAATGTTAAAAGTTGTGGTATAATATTATTAAATATAATAAAATATTGTGTATTTTTGTTTAAATTCGTGATTTTCTTTCAGAATATCACCAGGGAATGGAGCAGGGAAGTGAATATGATTCTGGTAAGTACCTGAGTAGTATATTACATGTAAAAAAGAAGTTTATTTCATCCAGTACGAAAAATAATCTAATTGCATCACGATTATGATTATAAACTTATCAGCTTTTGACGATCACTTTATGAATGAAGTGCTTAGCTGATGACTCATTGGATTCCAGGAAATTCATAGTAACTTCTACTATAGAATTCTCATCAATATGATTCATAACTAGTTGAACCAATTCCTTTGCCGGTAGTGTAGCTATTTGTGTAAATTATTTGCAAAATGTTATCAAGTGAATGGACTTTGGGCAAAATTCAATATTGGCAAGATCCCAGTATGTGATTCTTTGACCTGATTATACCTATTTTAGTGATCCAAACATTAAGTGTTATATTCTTTTTCCAAAATGTGATTTCCAAATGAAAGTTGTAAGTGTTACAGATTTGGTTGAATGAAAAATTATTTAAAACTCTGATCAAAATATTTTGGATCTTTTATCCTTGTTAATAACAATTGTTTAAATATTTAATTTACATTTTCCGAAGTATGTCTGTTTATAAAAATAATAAATTTTAATATTAATCTTTGTTTATTAGCACTTGAAAAATGTCAATGTTTCAAGTTTCTTTGTTTGATAATAATTTTGAAAGATATGTTTTGTATTATTATTTACATAACCTCTATTTCAACAATTTTTATACTTTTTAATTTAACAATAATTTAATTTAAAAATTAATAGAGTATAAAGTAATTTTTTGACCTTTCATCAAAAAAACATTATTTTTATTGAATCAACTTCCTAACTCTTATGCATTGTTTTGTACATTTACATCTTTCGAAAAACTTTAACTTTGTTTTTGTGTTTCCGGGAATCATCAATGTCTCATCCATAACATACTATTTGTCTATTGATGGTTTTAGAGACTTTAATGTTTGATTTATGATGTACGGTTTTGGAGTGGAATATCTCAGTCAGCAAGAACTAATCTTTGTCACCTTTCAATATTATTTTTCGGTTTTTTCTGTTCCTGTTCTATTAAATTTAATTCTTAGATATCTGAAGCTTTTCACTGCTTCAACATTGCCCTCTACTCTAGATTGAACAGTATTACAGACAAACTAGCGTAATATTTTACACCTTGAATCATTTCAAAGCTTCCAGTATATTCATTCTGTATTTGGACCATTGTTATTGTAGAATCTATTGCCACTTTTACTTATTGGATGTATTTCAAGGGTATGTTTAAGCTTTTTAAGATGATATATAACAGGCTTCTCTTATTGAGTCATAGACCTGTTTAAAATCAATGAATATATTAGCAACATAATACAATGTTACCAGTGTTTTTAAACTTTGTTTTACAGTTAAAAGAGTTAACCTATTGTTGACCTCCCTTGACGAAAGCTTTTTTTATGTTGCCCTGTTTTGATGTTTTTTATATTTTCAAAGGTTCAGGATGGATATAAAGATTTTATAAGCTGAGCACAAGTGGATTAATGATAATATTCACACTTATATTTATCCCTCCTTTTGTAGATTGTACAAATAATTCCCGTTTTTTTTTAATCGCTAGGAATTTTCCCTTCATTCCATACTTTAGTAATCAGTTTATGAATATTGTTATGTGTTCCCCACATAATTTAAACAGTTCACAGGGAAGATTATCAAATCCTGGCTCCTTGGTGTTTTCTGGCACCTGTAGTGTTTGATCTCTTCAATAGCCATGATTGCTATTACTTTATCCCCTGCCCCTTTTTGTTGAAAATCCACAGAATGGTAATTTTCTTGTGTTCCTAACAGAGCTTGAAAATAGGTTTTCCAAACTGATTTTACTTCTGTTTATTGGTTAATTATGTGTATCTTATCTGTTACATTACCCTATCTTATTATTTTCGAATTTTATTTCTCTATTTATCTTGAAAAAAACATGTAGTGTGAATAAATGAAGGAAGACCAAAGACAGGGATTTATGCCTTCTAGTACATAATATGCCATCCACTCTAATACTATGAGCCCTGTACTATATAATGGGCAAACTAAAATACATACAAATTCAAATATTTGACAGTTTATTTTTTATACACGTTTAATAATATACAGGATAGGTTTAATCAATAAAACAAAACAAAATATACTTCTTCACATATCATATCAGAATTATCTGATATTGACAATCACCATTGAGAAGGCTTCTTGAAAATATACTTACTCGTAACAAAAATAATTAATAATAAAGGATGTTTATTTTGTTTCCAAGTAAATATTGGGACATAGAACAAATATTTATATTTAAACCGGGGCATCATCGCCCTTATACTTTATGACCTCTCAAATTCAGTTCAGCATTTACTCAACTAAGAATCTGCAGTGTCCAGAGGTAAATTCATTGCAAATTTGCTCTATTTTGGCTTTAAGTTCGTATAATATCGCGTAAAAAGGACATTTATATTGTGGATTCCATACCAGTTGTTTGTGGGTCTGGCTGTATGACAGGCTGCTTTGTCTGGCTGAAAAATATTCCCACCAAAATACTTGATAGTAGGCTATTTTCAGGTATTTGTTGATATTTCGCTTCATTTATGGTACCCTCAATAAATTAAAAAGGTCCTGCCCCTTTAGTTAAGTAAAGTAAGTTTACACATTCTTCATTGTTTAATTCTAAATGAGCCATTTCTATCACTTTGCAAAAGTGCAAATAATTACAGATAATGACAATTATGACATATTCATACATGACCTTTTAGAATAGAACAATAAATATCATACAGTGTAGGTAAAAGTTTATGGTCAGTATGTACCTTATGTGAGATTGAGTGAGAAACATCTTTTAAAAAGAGAGAGGTATATTAGGTCCACCCTTTACATTTTTGAAATAGCATTAGCAGAACTAAGAAAAGAGGAGAAGTTCAATGTTGCTAAACTTCTTGGTTTTATTTGACCTGTTGTCTTTTTAGCATTTTAACAACATTCTAAGATAATCAAATTTGGGCAAATTGATTTAAATGGCAGCTTACTGCTTTTATTTTAAAAATGCCACAATTTTCCTTTACAATAAGTTTAATTTAACATTTTGATTTCCACTTCGGAAATCGTTTTATGTAAATAAAATTTATTAAAGTTTTGTATTTTCGAATTAGAAAAACATCAAAATAAGCTTATTTTAAAGTCACATTGTGCCTTATTCGCAATAAAAATAATAAAATGCAATATGACACCACAATACAAAACATTCTTACATAATTATTTGGCAATGTCGAGCGTTTAAAGTAAGGACTGCGAACTGTGTGTTCGTAGTTCTTTGACTGTAGTAATGAGAAAAACAGTAGAGATGAAAATGAACTGATTTTCGTAAACAAGTAACAAGTTTAAAAACTAATTAAAATATTCAATCGAGTACATAAACAAAAATTCTTTCTTGAATAAAAAAAAATATACTGAAATACTTTCAACGGCTCTTCAAATTTATAGTTGATTAGTAGATAGATATAGCTGTAGTTGATTTATAAGTTTTTCTTTGCAAAATTTGCATACAGCCTTCTCACTGTTAATGTCTTTCTCAAAGTGATGTCATAAAATACTAACATCTTTACGCGCAGACATGTTAAACAATTAGTTAATAAAGTAAATATTTAGTACTCACAGAATAAATTCACATTTATGTTAAACAAAACACTCTCACACAACTCCAAATAAAAATTTAGTTTGGCTCCCATGTGTTAATATTTCAAATCAAAAATAATCTATCATTGTAAAATTCAGAAAGTCAAGCATAAAAGCTGCATCTTCTACAAATGTGCATTTTTTGAAAATACAATAATTATTACGCTTGTACTAGGTAAATGATTTTATCTAAGAAAAAGACTTCTTAACTGAATATTTACAATAAATAAATCCTTTAACGAATTATCAATAAAGATTTCAACTTCAGAACACCATCCACTAGTTGGCTTCCCAGTGAGAACACATAGATTCTTTAACGACAAATAAACAGTTAAATAAAACAGTTCGGTGATTGAACGCTCATCTCTACAGAACAGAACTAGTTCTGTGATATGTCATGCGTAATCACGGTAGTAAGTTGTTCTTTCATAAAGAATAATAAATAACCACCAGTATTAGTAAAGCATTATGAGGAAGAAGGTGTATTGTATTAAATTTAAACGGGACGAAAAATTATCTTTTAATTAACAATAAGGTATTATTTGGTATTTTCCAATTAATATCTGAAACTATGTTTCGTTTAGATTTTTTGGAGGTATTAAGTGTAAAAATAAGAATTAGTTCTATAAAAATGAAAGAAAAAAAAAATTGTTCTATAAAAATGAAATCAAATAAAAAATAATTCCAACACTACTGTTTAAATTAAAAATAACTCCAAACAATTAGAAATTCTAAACCAAATTCTTATGTATATAAATGTTCAAACAGACCACCAAGTTGTAACAAACAGTAACCAAATCTGTTATACAAAGGATTCCTCATGGCGTTGAGTTCATCTGCCGATATGTTTTGGCTAAGTTGGATTATCTTTTCCTTTAGTTCCTCCAAGTTGGTGGCTCGCTCGAACTCATGCTTGTACAATTTTGTTTTTAGAGGCGCTAAAATAAAACCAAAAATAAAAATCTAGAGGAGCTAACTCAGGTGACCGAGGGGGCCATTTTATTGTACCATCTGTACTAATGATACGTTCAGCAAAAATTAACGATAAATAGTCTCTAATGACTTTTGCATTATGTGCAGGACAGCCGTCTTGTTGAAACCAAATTTCCACATCCACATCCCACATCTCATTTTTTACTTCTCACTATTTTTCTTCTTACATCTCGATTTAATATTTTATATATCTTGTAACCTTCCTCCTTTCTCGTTGACATCCATTTCTGATAAGCAGTTTTCTTCTTGTTTACTAATGTTTGCATATTCTCCGACTGCTATTCTTGATTTTTTATTTTATGTTGTTATACCCCAAAGCTTCACTTGTAGCCTCATGAATGCATTTTTTAAGTTGCTGGTATAATTCTTCCGCTGATATATTTTCTCATCCAAATTTTGTAATTTTGTGGCCAGTCGTAATTTAATTATAGGGGATGTTACTTCTTTTCTTTTTTCTATATTTTGTACCTGAGTGTTGTTGTTTTTGCGATAGTTAACTATCACGTTGGCCATAAGCAAAACGATAGTCGGATCCACATTCTGATCCACGGTATACCCTTACGTCAGTTGTTTTCAGCTGGGAAATTTGACGTTGGATTACATAGTCATTTATCGAGCGTAGATTTCTAGTAGGTTGTATGCATGTAAATTTGTGGATGTCTCCATGTTGAAAAAATCCATTCATAATTTTGAGAGACATTTTTTCACAAAAAGCTCTAAGACGCATTTCGTTGTCATTGGTTATTTATTCCCCATATCTTCCTACGACTCTGTTATTTTCTTCCCTTCCTACTCTGCCGTTTAAATCTCCTAGTATAAAGATTTCACAGTTTTCTTTAACTTCATTCAGAGAGTATTTCATTCATCTTGTTGTAGAAATCGTCTTTACTTTCTGGATCTGCATCTTCATTTGGGGCACACACTCCGATAATTATGTTGTGCCCATTCTTTTTCATTTGCAGTACTAGCAGTTCTTCATTTACTTCAGTCCACGATTTAATATTGTTTTTAAGATTTTTTTAAATGGCAATAGAGACTCCTCTCTTAGCTCTGTTATCTTTACTCACTCCACTTTAGATATGTATATATTCTCCTATCTTTTCATTTCTTTTTCCCTTTTTCTTGGTCTCAGTGAGAATACATATATCTATTTTGCTCTTCCGCTAATTCTTTGAATACTTCTGCTTGTTTGGTTCTAAGTCCTTGTCCATTCTATTTAACCAATATCATTTTCCTTTTCCGTTGCAATAGTCATCTTTGTTTTGATCCATTCTTTGTATTCCGGGACTTTTGGTCGCAATTTTCAGCATTTATTTTTTTGACAACGGATGAGTTGCTAGCCCATCCCCTCAACCCTCCCTTTTTATTCGGTCTTGGGACCGGCACCGGCATTTACTGGGCCTCAATCCATCCAGCACTTACCGGAGGCGGAGTAAAAAATTTATTATTTAAAGTTTCAATTAAGTCCGGATTTTTTTTGTTGTTTGGTGGAAATGGAACGCGCTACAAGGATTTTGATTGGTGATGAGTGTGTTCAAGCAATGACCTTACATAGCGAAGGACTTAGCTATCATATTATCGGTCGGAGGTTGGGAGTTTCACATACATCAATTTCGCGTATTGTTTAACGCTTTAGAGAAATGCACTACAGCAAACGCCCCGGACAAGGTAGACCTCGAGTTACTACGGTCTTTCAAGACCGTTTTATTAGATTATGCGCGTTAAGAGAACGATTTACCACGTCAAGGAATCTTTTAACGGAACTTAGTGCGGTTCATAACATCCAACCCAGCATAGATACCGTGAGGAGACGTCGTGTAGAACATGACTTGCGTATTCGAAGACCAGCTACAGGCCCAGCATTAACTGCAAACCACCGCAGAGCTAGATTGCAATTTGCCAGAGCACACGTAAACTGGAATAATGACGACTGGGAGAACGTTCTGTTTACAAATGAATCCAGATTTTGCCTCTATCGCTCCGATTAACGTTTAAGAGTAATCCGACGACCAAATGAGCGTATGCCCAGTGAAAAATACATAAAACGACTTTATTTAAATTAGCGTCTATAATAGTTTTGGGAGGAATTTATTTAACAGTGCGGACAAATCTTGTTCTTTAAGCAGTTAAAGGTACATAACTGATATTTTATCTGAGCATGTTGTACTTTTCGCTCCTTATATTGGTAATAATTTTTTGCTAATGCAAGACATCACGTTGCACGAACTGTAACCGAATATTTACAACAGGTAAATCTTCGGACTTCTAATTGGCCACCACATAGTCCAGATCTCCCGATCGAACATTTGTGGTACATAATTGGCAGAACACCACGACAGCGTTTGCCACCTCATAGAACCTCACAGATAAGATCGAAGCCTTCGAAATGTGGGTAGAATTCTACGTGTGCCCTGGTCAGAACATAGAACCAACCTGTCAATTCTGGAAGAGCTTCATATAAAAGACAGGCTGTTAAAAACAGTAAACGGGCCATATCTAATTAACTTCGGCCACATTTATTATGTGGTATACGGTAATGTAGCTCTTACGTTATGCTAGTAAAAACGTTTTGCATTATAACCGTGCATATCTCTTTTATTATTGAACATAAGCGAATGAATCAAAAAACAAAACGTTAAGAAAGCCTAAGGCTACAATTGAGTTTTAGTTTCAATATTTTATAAATGTTAAAATATTCCACAGGGTGTTCCGAACTTGGAGAAAAAACACAACATGATTGTTACACCCGGTATACAATGACATTTACCTGTCTAGCAACAATATTATTACAGCGATAATCTTGAAGAATAGGACTATACTATATTAAACAAATCACTCCAATCGGACAACAGGTTTAGTAAATTCCAGAGATCAAAAATGTCCTAATTTTGAGGTTGTGCATTAATTTTGCTGCTCAGTGTATTTTGGTGTTGGTGGAGGTCTACGATTCAATTAGAAATTTGGAAGTGCAATGGTCCTTTAGTCTCCACAGTATTTTAACACATCGTCTTCCATTGCTATGGAAATATTATAAAATTTGTAGGAAATGTAGTAAAAACCCTGCCTGCTCACAGAATTTTTAAATTTCTCTGTTGGTTTCTTTATACAAAATTTCAGCGTGTTAAGTGTTTAAGTTTTATGAATATGTAATAAAAACTAATATTAACACGTTCGCTGCCAAATACGAGATATCGAAGTACTTAAAATGTTAACTTTTTGAAACCAACTACAAGTTAACACATCATTAATAATTTATCTCTTATCGCGCAATACGTAATTTCTATTACTATACATGTATTTTTTAGGCTAGCGTTAGAAATATGAAACAAATGAAAGTATTTGGGTCATATAAGGATATTAAAATTGGAAAGTGTAAAATAGATATGGCGGTTAAATCAAATTAAAAATAAATTATGTTTATGTGTAAGTAGCTATAACAATATTTTCATAAAAAGTCTCTAGACATAAAACTGCTTTCTTCACTTTCTGTGCAGGAAATAATTTTCTTCATAGTTGGGACAAAAATATCGGGTTTCTCTGCATGTCTTTTGCGTAATGTATATTGTACATGACTTATTGGACGAAGTCCATTTGATTTGATACACAATGTTGTAAATAGTATAAAATACTTTTAGGGGGTTTGGAATTCGACAATTTTGACTGAAGGATATGTATTAAACCAAATTGGCGTGAGAGAACGTGCTATTAAATCAGTTGGCAGCCAACGTGTTATTATTAACGTGTATTAGTATTATTTATCTATATTTCCATCACGTGGCCCTCTCTCCCTCGTAGGGAGAAAATTCACTCATCTCAGATACCTACAGTATCAAAAGGTTTGATATCGTAGGTATTTAACTATTAAGACACATGCTGTATTAATGGGATTGAACCAATTCCCTGTGGTAGTTTTGTCAGACATGCTTCCCTGCGAATGGTGGATCGCCCACTTCCTCTAAGAGGAAAATTTACTCATCCTAGATAACTACGGTATCAAAAGGATTGAGCGAATTATTATTAATATTACTCACATAAGGAATTTTCATTTATCGTAAAACTATAATCAACCAAGTCTGCAATACTGTTCTCTTTTTTATGTAATTTAGCATCATTGCTTTAAATTAATATTTACTCATAAAACTGAAATTTTAGGTCAGCAGCAAGTCGAGCAAGAGCTCGCTACCAAGATGTTGCAGATCCAAAGTAAACGTTTTTACTTAGATGTAAAACAGAATCGCCGAGGCCGCTTCATTAAGGTTGCCGAGGTAGGTATAGTTATAATTGTTTTATTAAAACAGTATTAAAAGCATAAAGCTAATACATATAAAATATATCTTTTGACAACTAAAATGAAATATGCTCCAGTTCTTTAGTTAGTGAGAGGAGTCAATACATTGTAAAGCTCTATTAATTTATAAGATGATTGGCTTTTTAGTACGGAACTGCCTCTTTTGAATAGTAAAGATTTTAACTTTGATTTTGGTTGCATTCAAGCAGAATACACGTTGAGTAAACCATTAAAAGACCACAACTTTTGTAAATAATATGCCATGCCATAAACATTAAATGGACTGCAACGAAGAATTGAAGATACAAGTAGCAATAGGTATAAATACTCCTTTGGGTCTCCGTATTCACGTCCTAAAATGCTACATATTGCCAATAATAATGTACGGTAGCGAGATCTGATCACTTAAAGTAAGATCACTAAACACTATTGGAACTTTCGTAATGTGGTGTCTCAGAAGGTTGCTTAAAATTCCGTGGATCGACCATAATTGCAAATTAAGAGGTCTTAAGAACTAATACCCAAAGAGAACTTGCGACAGAGAATTAAACCGCGAAAGATCTCATATTTCTAAGCATATTTTAAGAGTCGACAAATATATTCCTTTAAAAATCATTTTAATGGGCAAAATTGAAGGTCGGAGAGGACCAGAAAGCAAATGATACTCATGGTTTAGAGACATAAGAAAATGGTGCGACATACCTGATATCAATATAAAAATAAGAAGAGCAGAAGAAGGATCATTCATAATCCAACCAATATAAACGCCTATATACTGCATAGGGTACGACAGCAGAACGAGATGACGTTATATATAACTTGTAGCTTGATTAGGAATTGTAGTTATTTTACTGTGTAATAACTAAAATAATTTTTGACTAAAAGTGTACTCTTTTTCTATAGTAGCTTTGAAATAATCTTCCTCTCCAAAAGACCTATTGATATTCTCTTATTATCTTTTCTTTGTAATATCCTATCGGGTTTTTTTAATAAAGTCAACAGAAATTTATAATGATATTACATCCAATAGTTTTGTACCTATGTGCGAGGATTGATCCCCGTGCTCTCCAAAAGAGTTATATTTTCCTATTGTATTTTCCTTGTAGCATCCTATCAAATTTACCAATAATTGAGAAAGAATCTTATTCAACAGTGGTGAATAAGATTCTCTGTGCGATAATTAATCATATTGCGCAGCTCCTGAGCAATTTATAACTCAAAAGTCTGAATAAAGTTTACTTGCAGTAGATGCCAGAATTCAGAAGAAGAGAGACATCTCAGGATCAAAATTGATCGTGTCTATGAGTGGTGATTAAATACAATGCAAATTCGTAAATATTTGGAGGATACATTAGGGTAATCTATAGTATCATATGACATAGGGAAAAGGTGGCGTCGTGATTTTAAATGCGGTAGACAGTTATATGCAGACGAACATGCAGGTGGAACGTTCATAAAGACTATTTCACAAGAGAATTTTAAAAACGTTCATGATCTTGTGTTGTAAGTTAGAACAATAATGAAGATATTTGTCTGCTAAAAAGGTACCAATAATGTTTACAAATGTACACAAGCAAACTCAAAAATAAATTCGTAGTCATCTTCTTTATACTCAGTATAGACAAGACACAGAAGACTTTCGTACAAGATTACATCGACCATGATTGATTAAAAGAGGAAATTATATATATAGTACAGGTTGTTTACAACTGTCGTTGTTTTCCTGTCCCTAGTTTCCATCGTTTCCTATCTCGGGTGTCGGCTTCATTTAGCTGTTTTCCTTCCATGGCTTCATTCACGTCATCTCGCCAGCTTCTTCTTGGACGCCCTCTTTTCCTTCTTTCGGTTGGGATCCATTTTAATATTTTCTTTGGCCACCTCTCGTCTGCCATTCTGTTTACATGACCGAACCAAGTTAGTTGTTTTTTCTGGACTTCATCTATAATGTCTTTTTCTTGCTCCATTCTACGTTTTATTTCTTCATTGGATGGATTCTGTCCATCCTTGTCAATCTACAGCTTCTTCTCAGAAAATCCATCTCGGTAGCTTGTAATTTTTTCCTGTTTCTTTTACTAGTGTCCCATATCTCTGCTCCGTGTGTTACCACCGGCTCAACCATCGTCTTATATTGTATGTATTCGTTTTTTTTCGTCGTTTCTTGTGATTTTTTTATCCCAAAGAATGGAGTTTAGGCATTTGGTAATGTTTCTGCCTTTGTTTATTCTTGTATTTATTTCTTCATGGCTATTTCCGTCTTTTGTAAACACTACTCCTAGGTATTTTACTCTATTTGTTCGTTTGATTTTGTCAATCTCCAATGTCAGGTCTTCGACTGTATTTTCCCCACTGAAGATATTCGCATTTTTGTAAGTTCACAGTGTCAGTGCACATTCTTCGTACGCTGTATGTAGTTTTCTAACCATATAGCTGAGATCGTCTATATCTTCTGCTACCACCAGTTGGTCATCAGCGAAGAATAGTGTATAGAGAATATCCTCGTCTATTTGTATTCCCATACTTTTGCATTGTCTTTGCCACTTTTGTAGAGATCGATCCAGATATATTTTAAACAGCGTAGGTGATAAACAACATCCCTGTCGTAGCCCTTTCGTAGTGTTGAATTTCTCACTAAGTTTGCCACTTAATTTTAATTGATGCGGTGTTGTTTTTAAGAGAAAATTAACAGAAAAAAAATACCGCTATTAGTAACTCAATAAAATATCTAGGATACATTTTAACAACATAACTACCCTCTGAAAGTTGAGAGCCAATGTGTAACAATAGAACTTTTTTTGGGAGCCTATTGTCTTCGTTCCGTCTAGCCAGTCTCTCAGGTGTGAAAACGTGTTATATATTAATTGCAAATCCGAAAAATGAGTTTGTCCGGGACAAATAAAACAGGATATTAGCTAATAATATTTATTGTCCATTAAAAAAATAAAATGAAGTTTAATATCACAAAAAAAGTAAATCCTACCCATAGCTTTACACAAATTTGAAATTGAAACTTATGGTTTCATATAGTTGACATATAGTTAACTCGTTGATGGCTTCAGATGCTGGTTGGATAAATTTTAGCTATATGAATAGATTTCAAGTAGGTGGAGATGCCGGGGATCGAACTCGTAGTTTCAAGCAGCTATTGAGATGGACATGGTAACTGCTATGCTGCTGCAGTTGTTATTCCAGGTGTGGTTCACCACGAGACTTCACGAAATTCCGACCAACAAGGGGTACCCAACAAAAAAAAAATATATGTAGGCCAAAAGAACTAAAATGGGAAACCTTGAGTTAGCGACTGCATACAAAGATTTCCTTGCCATAGTAAAATCAATTTGTTTGAAAGGACGTAGCTGATTGCAATGATGATTAAATAAATATAATAATTTTAAAATAAATTAGTTAAAATGATTGAAATAAAGATTCTACATGCATATACGTATATAAAAGTTGGAAATAAAGCATGGCTTGGAAATTAACCTAATGATAATTATATTGTGACAAGTCAAAATGAATGAAAGAAATCAGCAAAAAAGATATAAAAACATCATCTACAAATATGAAAGGACATTTGTACTCACTCCAGTGACTAGATTTAACCATGTAAATGAATTTACTAGCAGAAATTCGATTTTTAAGTAGATGGACAATATTTAAAAAATGACTCCACTTCTATATTGAAATAAAACTAAGATGACAGAAGTCAAGAGTAGCCAACTGACAAATATATTGTGTCGCTGAAGTGGGGCATAGACGTTTTATATATTCCTATGGCATAGAATAGAATGGGGCAGATACAGAGTCTGAATACAGGGAATAGAATCGAAATAAGTGAAAGATTAAACAAAATATTTAGTTCATAGAGTTGAGCGCCACCTATTTTAGAAGAAAAATAGGAAAACAAAAGAGAAAAAAACATCATCTACAAATATGAAAGGACATTTATACTCACTCCAGTGAATAGATTTAACCATGTAAATGAATTTACTAGCAGAAATTCGATTTTTAAGTAGATGGACAATATTTAAAAAATGACTCCACTTCTATATTGAAATAAAACTAAGATGACAGAAGTCAAGAGTAGCCAACTGACAAATATATTGTGTCGCTTGAAGTGGGGCATAGACGTTTTATATATGCCTATGGCATAGAATAGAATGGGGCAGATACAGAGTCTGAATACAGGGAATAGAATCGAAATAAGTGAAAGATTAAACAAAATATTTAGTTCATAGAGTTGAGCGCCACCTATTTTAGAAGAAAAATAGGAAAACAAAAGAGAAAGTTAACAAATCAATAAAATCAAAAGAAATTATGTCATCATTACATGTGGTTGTTTTTTTAAAGACAAATCGCATGCTATGATATTTCTGACAGGTATTCTTAAGGTAAAGATGATTTTATGTAATCGAATGAACTATCTTACAATAAAATTACAAAATAAAAATTCGTATTAACAATTATATTTCAAAAGAATTCTATTGTAATTCTGGTGTACCACAAGGGTCTCAGCGTGGTTCTTGTTTTTTAACTTGTTCATTAACGATATTGGTAAGGCTATCAAAAACTCACACATCAGCTATTTACTGATGATTGTAAGTTATTTCGTTGTATACATAATAAATCGGATAGAGATTTGATCTCCTTCAAGATAATGTAAATAATATACAGTCCCTGGCCATATTATTATGACCACCAATCGTATTCAATAAATTTATATTTAAGATTTTTGTTTTAGCTATGAATTAAGTTTAATTTTATGGTTTAATATGAATGTTAACATTTTAAGTACCTTATTCATCAAATATTTTATAGAGTGTAAACATTTCTGGAATCAAGGTCCTAAGCCGACCACTCACGATACAGCGGCGTTGTTCAACTTCGTCGAGTTCGACGAATTGACAAGGATTTTGATCGTGTGTGGCCGTGCATCCAATGAAATCATACAATTTGACCGCAGACAGACTGGCCTGTCTG